TTGTGTGTGTGTGTGTGTGTGTGTGTGTGTGTGTGTGTGTGTGTGTGTGCACTCGCTCTAGTGTTATTTTCCGCTGTTGCAGGAAAGATGACTGTCACTCAAATGGAAGTGGTGGGAGAAGGAAACTGTGGTGCGACTGAGTCATTCTTTCCTGAACACCGTGTTCTCTGTAACATGAATCACTTTCACAACTCAACAAGAATGTCATTTCTCTGAAGCAAAGGAAAAAAAGCCTGGAGTATCTTCACTGAGATTTGTTGCTGCTGCGCCCTCACCTTCCACAGTTACAGATGACACTTCCTGTATGTGTTTGAGGAGAAGATGCAGCTCCGACGTGACAGTGTGCAGTGAAAGAGTCAAGTTGCAGGCAATCAGTATGGAGGTGGCCGTTCTGAAGGGATGCACAGGCTGTGAGCTGAGGTAATAAACTGTAACGTCAGACTGCAGTGCTCCAATCACCTGTTAGTGGTAGAGATACAAAATATAATTTGGCTAACATTCATTATTTTGTAAAGAAAAATGACTAAAAACTAAGGGGCACACTGAAAGAACTGAAACGTTGACTTTAATTAAATGTATTATTTCAAAAGATTTCACACAACTCTATTAGGTTTGTTGAAAGCAATAATATTAAGTTGAACCTTATATTTTTCATTTAAACGTAATATTATTGCTTTCAACTTCAAATCAGTTGACATAATATATTTAATTAAAGTCAACGTTTCAGTTTTTCAGTGTACACGCCTTTATATCTATTTGAGTCTTTGTCGTGTTCTAATAATCATAATTGGTAGAACAAGTATTAGTATCTGGCTGGCGTTCTTGGCAGCAGATAAGCAGCAGCAGAACCAACAGCTGCAGTTAAAGCAGTATTACCATCGCCTGGAGCAATCGTGTGTGATCCAGAAGTCCTCTGTCAGTGGACATCAGAGGCTGGTAATCTGTCTTCACCGTCACTGTTGCATTAAACCGATAGCCTCCATTATCAGAATAATATGTTGAGTCTGAAAGTTGAGTTCAAAAGATCAGTTCACTCAAATCATTAAGAAAACATATGTTCTCAATTAGGATATACAATAGTGGAATGTAGGAAAAGTATTAATTACTGTAGGAATCTTGTATATATCACTTTTTTTTTAAAACAAGACTTCCACAACTTTGTAATAAACCTCAATTGACTGACACCCTGTAGGCCAAACAAAGAACAGTGCACAACAGTTTGTTCATATGTCAGTGCCTAAAGGATCCAAGTGTAGTCAAAAGCTGGATAAGACATTTAAAAAATAGTCTGCTCTGTAAATAATATCAGACTTCCTTTTCTCCAGCAAAAAGAAAATGAACAAAACCCTTTGTTTGTAACGTCCCTATGAAGTAATGTTTGCATTCTGCCCTGGTTTTAAGATAGAAGTTTGGGGGGAAAAAAAAATGTTGGGTCACAGAGAAGTTCCTTTTCAATTATTAATCATACACGCCACAGGGCTATTTCTTTGGTATAGGGGGGTCAGGGGGTTATCCCCAGATAATTAGGACATATACCTAAAATACTTGTTTTATAAAGTGCAACAATTTTTTTCTAATTTCTCATTCAAACTCAAACTCAAATCTGTGAACAAAAAAACAACCCCTAAAGCATTCTTGAAAAGCGAATAATGAAAAAGATCAACTAACCTGCAGGATCACTGCAGACATAATGACTGGAACTCTGACAGCATTTTTGCCAGCCCGGGCAGTCAATGTCCCACTCACAGCCCTCAGATCTGTTATACACTCCATCTGCAGTTGGACAGGATCCTGGCTTGGCAGTGAACTCATCACTCCTGTTTACAGCTTCATTCAGAGAAAATAACATGTTACAGGCCATATATTAGCAGCCCGATATTTGGAGCACTGCAATTTCTGTGCCTCCATCTGGCGTCTTGCACACAGCACCACGCACTGAAAGGTCTCATTACTTGTCTATCTAGAGAGTGTGATGCTATATTATCACATTTTATTAAACGAAGATACTTGGAATTTAACAACGTTTTTTGCTCTTCTGTAATCTGATGACAGTACTCACGCAGGGCACAGTATCGACCCACTTGTACGTGGCCGGGGCAGCATCGGGTCACCTGCTGCTTCACTGTCCTGGTCTCAGTCTCATGGGTCATCCTGTAAAGTGTGACTGTACATGTCTTCCAGTGGAGCCAACCCCCACAAGGCTTCGTCACAGTATAGGGGACCGCGTGCATCACCAGTAAACTTACATTCCTTGTCTCATTATAAGTACAAAGACGATAGCCAGATGCAGACAGGCTATTTCCTAGAATAAAAAAAACATGTAAATCTTACTGCTGAGTTTCCTTGTAAGTCTGCATAATAACGTCAGATTTTGCGTTTTTAATTGCAAGGATTTAGCGTTGCTCTTATTAAGTATAGCACAAGCCTAAATCTGTGACATTAAATATCTTAAAAACAAATGAAAGCAGGCAAAAACAATTAGCATTAATTTCCCATAGATATGTTCTGTACAACCAATGCATGTTAATCTGCGTATAGAGGCCTACCTTCATGCTCAGTGTTTTGTCCCCTACCGAGAGCCAGCAGGGCCGTCGCCACGAAGATGGAGAGCATCCAACTCATTTTTCACAGATCAAAATCTCGACCATGTATTTAAAGACCACATTGTACGTGCATGTTTTTCTTTGAGATGATGCTAACTCACTGTTCAGGGCGTTCTCAAACACTCAATCCTCTGTAGCTGTGTTTCTCCTCCCCTCGGTGCACCATCAGTCCCTAATGGACTACAGAATCATGACAGCCAGCAGGTTAGTATTATATGTATGAGAATATCTGGAGTATCATTAGTCAGTGCAGTAAAATTACATTAAGCTTTGCAAGAAAATCTAAATGGTTAGATAATTTGACACCTTTCATTGCTACATCATATGCCGTGAATGAGCCAGTGTATTACAAAATGAAAAGCCTTTGGTTTACACGATTTTCACAAAGGAAACTCAGGCTTCAGTTTTAGTTTTGTAGCATAAATAAGTTGTTTTTTGATGGGGGTGTCAGTAAACATGTTTATGATGGCAGGGACAGAGACATGTGATGGGAGGAGATAAAGTCCCTAATGACTTGGTTTACACAGGTAGCCATGGCAGTGCTCTCTACTGCTGCTAACGGCCAGTACCAGCCATTAATGTCAGGAGAGGAGGTGTGACAACTTCTTTCCGTTTCCTCTCATGTGTTCTCTCTCATTATATGATGGAGCAGCAGCATGCTTTGGCTGTCAAATGTTCTTAAAAAAGACTATGTTAGGATTCTGTCATGACTTTCATTTGATATGAATATACATTTGCATCTGATGAAATACTACAGTCCTCAGTATTATTTTTTATATTTTCATGTATAATTTTGCAAATGAAGTCCTTAATTGATGCTGATCCTTTTATAGTAATGAGGTGTGAAAATGTGCTTGATTAAACCTCCTTCAGCCATTAGGTGATAATGAATGGGTACATGTTGATGCGATGGAGCATGTAGGGAGGTTCAGGGCTACAAGCTGAGTCAACTAATGTGTCCACAAATTAAATACAGTTACACCACAAAATAATCTTCAGCTCATTAGAACATGGTTTAATGTCGATTTCCTGCTTTTCTTCAGCAATGTCCCACCTGGTTGGGTGTAGATGTCAATGCTTTTCAGGAACCAACCTGTTGGACATAAACATAGCAACAGGTCCCTCCTGGATGCCAGTAATGACACACACTTACTGCTACGCTAAGATGACTTCCATTTAATCACATGCCTAATTGGTTTCATTGGGGATTAGAGAAAGTGCAGTTGCACATATTATATCTGCACGTTGTTGGATACAGAAAAATAGGTAACCCAAAAAGATGACTGTGAACTAAGATTTTCATCGTCATAACTACACTGTAGCTACAGTATGTACGTATGACTAATAAAAAAGACTTGCAATGTATATTTAGATTTGCTAAAAATCTAAAGATGGACTTTGGTTATTTGACAATGCATAAAAATATGTGCTTTAACTGTACATTACTTTTTTTGTTTAAGTCCCCACTTGCTCCTCCCTTGCACAGTTTACTGTAAGACATGTGACTTCAAACTTCCAATACTTAGTTTCAACAATACTTATAATCAATAATTGCAATGCAGTGCTCTAGTACAACAGTGTCAATTACAATTTGCAGTGTAGCTTAAGTTTGCAAACCTTTGCTCATGATAAAACAAAAGATAGAAAGGAACACAGACGATGACAGCTAATGTGAAAAATACCACCTATCTCTTTAAATTAGCTTCAGTGATAAATCTTCAGTTGGTCCCGCCTCCTGGTCATTTTACCACCCAATCAGAGCGCAGTGCACGTGACGAGCGTTCATTGCGATGACCTCATCCCTGGTGTGGGATGACGTCAAATTCAAGATGGATGGAATCACGACCAGCGCGCAGAAATCTACACAACAACACTGAATAAAGTCCCGGCTGTGCGGAGGAAAGACCTAATTGACGACGGGCAGGGTAAGTGTAGATAGACTACATAACTTACCTTTAAACAGAATTAGTAGGCATGTTATAGCATAGTTGGTAGAGTGCTGTTAAGGATAAGCATTTTCCTTTTCCTCCCTGACGTAACTCGAAAGGGGGCTTGTGCTGCTGTAAGACCTGAACACACATTCTGCAGCCAACAACTACGCCATGTCACGCAGGGTTGAAGCGTTAACAATAAAAAAAAACACCACTTCCACCGGGGCTTGAATACACTCCCCCTAAACTCAACAGCTTTTCTGTCTGCACCGACTGTATTTTCATTCCGGGATTACCGCGGAGGAGTCCATTGAAACGTGTTCAACTCCACCCACCCCCCCCCACTTGATGAGATAGAGCGGCGGCGGAACCGTTTTATGGTCATTCACCCACACACAATGAGAAACTCGTGACTGTTTTCTGAACTGAAAGTGGGATTTCGGATGAAGAAGTTATGTGTCATGAGAAATAGAGCCACGTCTCATGTATGATATAATTATGAAAGCCTCACTCCAAGACTTCCTCATAGAATACTGACAGAAGTTAAATTAGCTGTTCTTTTGACGTTTAAATTGTGCTGAATAGACAGTCGAACGTGTGCTAGTTTTGATGAATGAATGAACCTTCTGCCCACAGCCTATTTTTAGTAAGTGTCAACATAAGTAGCACGACTTCCGGTCAGCACTTTCAAAATAAACTTCTAAAGAAGTGTCGTATCTTTAGATAATTAGCACCAGATGCTCCTGCTAGAGGCGTTGCACACAATGCAAAGAGGCAATTGATGTCTTATTACTGGATAATGAAACACTTTAATTTGCCAGATTATAAGTGATGGACACCTACCTATTTTTTTCCAACTATCTGTTATGCTACGCACGAAATTCTTTATTAATCCGCCGGGTTATTTTGCACCTCTTCTTCTCCCAGATTGAACATTGCAGAAACTCCGTTCAAACATCAAACCGTTCAGCTCGGTCGGGAATGGAGGGCTATTACTTTTCTCATTCATAACTTTCATAATTCCAGAGATACATCCGATAATTCATCACATTTTTAATATGGAAGTCAATGGAGAAACTCTTCAGATTTGAACAATCTTCATGCAACTTCAACTGCTAACTGCTCCTTCATACTTTCATTCAGAAACCTCATTCCAACTTTAAAATGTTACAAATCTTTCTGACATTATTCGTGTTACACCACTTTTAAATCTGATTCATACTTTTAGAGATATTAAACATTGTTCAGACCTTGGTAAAGAGGCCTTCTTCAGATTTTAGAGTGCGTGATGTCACAGCTAGAGTGGAGGACAGATTTAAGGCCTCTTTACCAAGGTCTGAACAATGTTTAATATCTCTAAAAGTATGNACACACACACACACACACACACACACACACACACACACACACACACACACACACACACACACACACACACACACCAACAGAGCAACTGGTATTTTGCTCCATAACATGATGGTCACAAAGAAAGAAATGGCTGAGTTTGCATTGGGATTCCTGCAAAGCCAATCAGGCCGGCAACACAGCCAGTCCCTATCTGAACCGTCAGAAAATAAAAGCCCTCCGCTGGCAGCTTGTTTTGCACAGTCTGCAGCAGGTTGGAACATTATCTGAATGACTGAAACATCATACAAGTTCTTCAAATCTTTTTTAAGGAGGGGTATTCATTTATAGTGTTGCTGGATTTTTGAGTAAGCATGTGGACACATGAAAAAAGGCCATGCCGATTAATTAGCAAGTTAATGAGGGAAGCGTTTGTACAACAAGTAACCAAAGTCAGGAGTTGGTGCTTGTCTATGTTTAAATGCAGCTCTGGTGGAGCTTTTCCACTCAATGTGATAAGGGGAGATTGACTTGAAGAATTCGTTTTGTATTTAAGTATACAAACAAGGAAATAAAAAATACGTGAGTGTCTGCTTCTTTAACCCAGATGAATGCTGAAGTTGCCATATAAACAGAATCCAATGTGTTTGTGGTTTGGAGGAAGGGGACGCAACACTCAACAATATAATAATGAATGCATTTACAGTATCTCCCAGAAAAAGCCCTTCTGTATTACTAAAACAAAGGGTCAGTTTACCTTTTTTCCTGCAGCCTTTTGAAAGCTGGATACTTGGCTGACCATTAGTTCTGACGCCTCAAGGTCATCATCTTCGAATGTTAACCGAACAGGATCCTGATGAGGAAGAGGACAGAAACATTCAAACAACAGCACAAGGGAAGAAAATAAAGTTGTTGCAATCAAATGAGCAATGATCTGGGCTGTGATGCATCACATTGGCAATGCATATGTTCCCGCGTGATAATACCTAGGAACAGGAAAAAAGCAGGGTGGTGCATGAAGGTGCAAATGTTACAATGATGTAATTAAAAAGAAGCCAGAATAATGGGAGATTGATGACGTCCACTTTGAAACAGATATCAAATATCGTCCACAGTCTAGCCGATGTGTATATGTAAACCTCTGAATCTTTAATCAAAGGACGGGGGAGATTCTATTGCTGGGTCCTCAACTATCCATGTGAGAGGATACATGAGATCACAGTCACATCCTATGCAAACTGCACCTTCTTTATTAGAGTCACCAGCCTGCCACAGAGAGAGTGGTGGCTGGCTGATCATGAGACTTACCCCACTCTTCTTCGATTGGTCATTCAATGCCCTGCACCAAGCTCCTCTCCACTGACTCTTCCAGCTCCTCTGTGACAGCGCCCATCCCAGCAGAGCCCCGGCTTCCTCCTTCGCCGCATTGTCCCCTGCTGCTGTCTGCCTTTTCCCTACACCCCGACGCTGGACATACTGTACGAAATACAGTACCAAAGTAACGAGGGATGCGAAGAAAAGTGTGACCATGCATAACCACTGCGGGTCCTCCAAACCGAAAAATGAACCGGAACTTTCGGAGTCGGACATTCTTTGCAAATGAAAGCGATGATGGCAGCTTAACACACCTCCTCTGAGAAATATCCTGGCAACCTCATAGACCATTCGGTCGGGGAATCAGTGAAAGAAATCTCCCACAGCTGATATCACCACGGATCTCAGCCCCCACAACGAACTATGCATATTGTGATTCATGTTGCAGTGCCCCATAATAGCTTTAAAAAGCCGTATATATGTTCCAAGTCTGTGCACGGTGTTTAAAATAATTGTATCATTGTCCTATACCTAGACCACAGTTTCGGTTCAAAATAAACGTAGAGAACAGCACACTCTCCTTCTCCCATTCAATGTGGTTGTTAGCTTAGTTAGCTAATCTTCGCTACGCTTCGCTTAACTAGCTATTCTTCATTAGCTATGGAGCCGCCAAAGTTTTTAAACAGGAACTATTTCCGAAGTCTCAAGTTAAACTCTGCCGCACGATATCCAGATATAGAACCAGAGTCCCGGGTAAACATCCTGAAAGCGGGGCAGTGCAGTTGTTGCCGCTGGACTCGCTTTGTGGCTCGGTGTGACTGTACAAAGTTGACGTTTCTAAACGGATATGTGGCACAAACTGTAAGTCCCAGAATGCAATGCGACTGTT